TGTGTTTAAGAGAGAGAGAGAGAGAGAGAGAGAAAGAGAGAGAGAGAGAGAGAAAGAGAGAGAGAGAGAGAGAGAGCGAGAGAAAGAAAGAGGCAGTCAGACAGACAGATAGACAGATGAACAGACAGACAGACATACAAGCACACAAACAGACAGAGAGGCAGATAGATAGAGAGGAACAGACAGACAGACAAATAGACAGGTAGACAGACTGAGAGAGGGAGAGATAGGGAGAGAGAGAGATTGAGAGAGAGAAAGAAAGACAGGGGGAGGGGAAGGGAGGGAGAGGTATGAGGAAGAGAATCGTACCACAGAGAGATTGTTAGAAGGAGTGGTTACTTTCGCGCTGAAAAAGACTCGCAAAGCCACATAATATTATTATAGTATTTAATGTACACCGGTAGGCGCCACTTCAGGGCAGGTGGAGCGAGCGTGAAATCCCGTTCGTATGAGTCGCAAAATTGATTTTTGAAAAAAAAAGTGTTCGTTTGAGTATATTATACTTATTCCAACACATGGTGGCCATTTTGAGACCATACTTCAACTGATTTCGATCCATCGTCTTTATTCTGTCGGAGTTCCCACTTTAGACAAATGTGCACTTAGTAAGTAAGTTTATTCAGTGTTTAAGGCCACTGGCGCACCCCACATCATATAGAACACCCACTTGTTAAATAAAATTTCCATAATGGAAAAGTACAGGTTTTGCACATATCTCTTATCATGGGTCAAACATTGCATACTTCTGTCACTGTGCCTAGTCCGGCTGGGAAAAAAGTGACAATTTCCTTTGCTAGACAAAGTATGGAAAACAAAAATAATTGCAGTTAAGCACAAACCGAAACGTGTTTAAAGTATGTCACGCTTAGTATGCCACCCCCAACCACCTAGTAAGCACAAATAAAGACTAAGAAACTTCTTCCTGTTGATCTTATAACATTTCGCAATCTCAGAATTACAAAGTTCTATCCGGCATTTTTGGCTCTTTTGAGTTACTGAGACGATGAGATCAGAAATCAAATGCTCTATCTGCTCTTTCAAATTGAAAGATTATTCTGAATATTATTATCAAAGTATTAAAAGAATTTGATTCGAAAAGGCTTGGCATATACATGTAATTCTAGGGTAACTCGAGGACAGTTGGAGCGAGAGGGAAAAACGACAAGGTGCTATCCGGCTGTTTTACATACTGGAACAAATTCCCTCCTCATAATATAACGATATGATGTACGTGTATGTGACAAATGGGCAGACAGGCTGCTCACCAACGAGGAAGTGTTGAGGAAAACAAAACAGATCCAAATCAGAAATGAAATTAGAAGAACGCGGTGGCGATGGATTGGACATACTCTAAGGAAGTCAGGCAGTTGCATAACAAAGAGGGTATTGGAATGGAATCCACAGGGTAAAAGATCAAGGGGAAGACCTCGTGGAACCTGGCAAAGATTCACAGAAATTTATGTACAGAAAAGTGGGAAGACATTAAACAATATGAAGAGGCTAGTCCAGGATTTAGCAAGGTGGAAAGAGTATGTTTGTGGCCTATACCCTGATGCAGGGTGAGAAAAGCAATGATGATGGTGATGCTGCTGTATGTAACAAAGAATTTTACTACGATATCTTTGAGGAGTTTAAACAAGAATGCATTCGTGCTAATATGAAGCAAGTCTTTAAAACAAAAACAAAAAATAGCAACAGCAAAAACCAAAACTGGGGTTCAAGAGAGGGCAGGACAGAAAGAGATGGGGTGCGCGGAAGTAGCGGGAGAGGGTCAGAGAAGAGAGATACGGGTAGATGCTGGAGGAGAGAGAAAACAGAGAGAGATATAGAGGGATGGGGGAGTGAGTGAGAGTGGAAGAATGACAAGCAGTACAAACAGAGAGAGAGAGAGAGAGAGAGAGAGAGAGAGAGAGAGAGAGAAAGAGAGAGAGAGAGAGAGAAGATGAGAATGGAGGAAAGAGGGTACCATGGGGTAAAAACCCGAAACAAACCCCAGCCAATACTCAATGTCTACTCACCTAGCTTGGAAGCGAAAGCGTCCAGAGTTTTGGCGGGTTTTTTTTTCTATATATATCTGTCCTGAATCTTGAAGGGGACTCTATTTGGCTAGAGGGAGCCACTGGTAGGTCCTACTTCTTCACAATCCCTCTCTTCTTGCTGTTGATCTGTCTCGCTTTTTCCCGGCACTATACTGTGTCCGTTAACGTGTCTACGTGCTCTTTTCTGGGTCCTTTCAATTTCCCTCTGTTGATGTTTCTGTTTTGACGCCGTCTTTTATTGGCACTTTATCTGTGATAATATTGTTATCTCTCTATCACTGTTTTTTTGTTTTTTTGTGTTTTTTTTTTGGGGGGGTGTCAATGTGCTTCTTTCTCCTTTTGTTGTTGTTTCAGTGGTACCGTCCTTCCTTCTTGTTGCCCTCAGGAACGATAATACACGCCGTTTTTTGTGTAGGTCGATGTTCCTCTTTCTCTTCTCCTGTAGTATTCCTATTTTACCGTGTTTCCTTTCATTTTAATCTCAGGAACTATTATATTACCATCGCCGTTTTTGTTCGTCGATATGCCTCCCTCTCAGTGCTCAAACACAAGGATGACGCTCTGTTACCGACGCAAAGCCACGAGTTGAAGAAATCCTGAAAAGGAAATAAATAAATGCTATCATCAACATGGAGACATTCAGTGCGAGGTCTCGGCTCTTATTTCGATTCGTCTTATTTTATAATATTTTTTTTTTTTTTTTTTACCAGCTTCTTTTTTTCACTTGAGAGAAAGTCTCAGCACTGATTTCGATTGCTTTTTCTTTTCTTAAGGTTCTGATATTTTTTTAAAAACGTACTTGTTTCACTTGAGCTGTAAAAAAATGACAGGTTTCAGAAGGCCAGGGTAAAATTGACTGGTTGGTGAGATAGACACATTGCCTTTATGGCAAGGGTAAATTTTTGTTCGGATTGGGAAGGGAGGGGGGGGGGGGGGGGGGG